TATTTCTGATGGTCTTAGGAACCGAGACACTGCTCCTCTATCCGTCTCCAGGTGGGTCCGCCCACCTGGAGATACGTCCACATACAGGGCCCCACAACATGAGGAACTGTATTAAAGGGTCATGGCATGAGGAAGGTTGAGAACCACTGCTCTAGAGATTTACCTAGTAAAAACACAGGATCATTGATCTAAAAACGTAATTTAATTCCTGTATGGATTCACGTCAACAACGCTACTGCAAGTTAGCAGGCTTTTCTACGAAAGTGAAGCAGGGAACAAAAAGGCGTATCTACCTATAGGAGTTTGGGTCTTGGTGCTCCTGGATTTGTACATCTGAAAAAAAAGCATCATCTTCTTCATCGTCACTGTGAAGGCTTTCATCTGAATCATAGATCACACCACTATCAGACAAAGGGAGAAACGGCTGCAAGAAAAGACAAAGTTACTTTTTTAATATACAACTGACTCATTTTCTCCTAGTTTGAAATGAACCTTTTTCCATAGTAGCAAACTATATAACATTTTCTTTCATAAATGAGTATAGGCATAGAAAGGCTAAAACTCTTAAAGGCTAAACAGCTATAAATCTTAGATTCAATAAACTGAGTAGCTAGATGCAACATAAATATTTACTTAAAGGAACTAACTCTAAAATGTTTTTTAAAATTAATGAAACCTAGCAGGGAAGCAACAAAGCCACATGGAAGAGGCATACCAGCCTGCGTGATCAGTAGGTGTCGACAGGATTAGGTATCAGGCATCACAAGACCCAAAACAAATAAACATATTGATGGGAACAAGTGGGGTCAAAGTGGATACCCAAAGACCATCTGTAGACAAATGGACATCCCCTCACAGAAGGGCCACAAGGAAGGGAAGAACTAGCCAGGGTGCAGTCTAGCACCTACAAAACACACAACATTCCTCTAGTTCTTTAATGCTTCCTCCCTCCCACTTTCATGGCCCCAGTGCTACCTTACACATCCAGCTAGACCAGAGCAAGTACACTGGTACTGATAAGAGCTCTTAACAGACAATCCAAGACAGAAAAACCCCTTGGGAACAATAATGGGAGTGGCGATGCCATGAGGGTAGGGGGAAGGTGGGGGAGAAAGGGGGAACCAATTACAATGATCAATGTCTAATACCCCACACACACACAAACACCCCAGGGGGACGAACATCAGAAACATGGGTGAAGGGAGACAGCAGACAATGTAAGATATGACAACAATAATAATTTATTATTTATCACGGGTTCATAAGGGTGGGAAGGTGGGGAGGGAGGTAAAAAAAAGAGGAGCTGATACCAAGAGTTCAAGTAGAAAGAAAATGTTTTGAAAATGA